TGCCCCCCCGGCACCCCCTCTGGAGCTCCCCCGAGGGGAGCCAGCGCTCGGGGAAGGGATCCCCCCCATCCTCCAAAGGACCCCAGCCCAGGGACATCAACATGTTCTCAGCTGCCCACGAGCGGGCCCACGGCAAGCTGCTCGGCCGCCGCATCTCCGAGGAGGACCCCTACGGCATCGCCGACTATGGCGGCATCAACGATGCCATCACCTGCCTCAACCTGAAGTCCACCTACGAGTCGGAGGTGCTGCGGGAAACTGCCCGCGGCTGGAAGGAGGGCAGGAGCATCTTCGAGAAGGAATCGAGCGGCAAACCGGTGGCACGGAGCAAGACCATGCCCCCCCAAGTCCCTCCGCGGACGTATGTCTCCCGCTTCGGCAACCGGAAGAATCTGGCACCGAACAAGAACCGCAGGATCTCCATCGACCCGGTAAGAGGCTCTTCTCTCCACAGAGATGGCTCCTGGGATGGAGCCGAGGTGGTGGGGAGAGCTGGAAACGCAGCGCCGGGGTGCAAACGGGGCCATGGGCGCCTGCCGCTTTACCGTGTTTCCTTTGCTCCGGGTTGGTTTTATTTGTCCCATCACTGGGGCTCCTCAGGGTCTTGTTTGTGCATCACGGTTGGAGGCGTCCGTGCCCTGAGACGCTGTCCCTGGGGGTTAGTAAGAGCTTTCCAGATTGCCCGTCTCCCCGAGGGCTGTGGGATCACGTAGTCGTGGCCAAAACCCTGCAGGGCAGGTGAACCGGGGCCGGGAAGCCAAGCAGAAGGGCAAGTCCCATCTGGTCACGATCCCTCTCCGCCAAGCAGAAGGGATGTTCCATGTGCTGCCATCCGAGCACTGCCTCCTCTCCGCACCCTCGTGCCCAGACACCTCTGGGGCTGCCCACAGCCTCCGAGGACACACTGGCCATCGCTCTCACCCCGCAGCCAAAGCCCGGTGCCCACAGGAGGGCACGGGCAAGCGCCATGCCCCATGGCTAGCTTGGCACGCGAGCGCCCTGGACCTGCCGCTCCGGGCATGCAAGCGCCGCCGTCTCCAGAGGCCACGCTGCAGGTGGTTTGCAGGGGGCTTAGTGTCCTGCTCGCTCGCAAAATGTCACAAAATCCTCCGGAAAGAGCCGGGAGTCTCCTCCCGACAGCCGGGCGATCGCTTTCCTGTTCGGCTCGCAACGTCCTTTCCTATCCCAGCTCCCTTCTTCCCTCTGCCGAGCAGCGAGCGGGATACCTCCCCTCTGCAAAGGGGGCGTTGGGGGGCTG